CTCCTGATGCAGCCCAGGGCAGGGTTGGCTTCTGGGCTGCCAGCGCCCATGGCTGGCTCATGGCCAGCTTTGCATCCCCCAGCACCCCCAAGTCCCTCTGGGCAGGGCTGCTCTCCATCCTTTCTTCCCCCAGCCTGTATTGATACCAGGGGTTCCCCCGACCCAGGTGTGGGACCTTCCACTTGGCCTTGTTGAACCTCATGAGGTTCCCATGACCCCACCTCTCCAGCCTGTCCAGGTCTCTTGTCCAGATAATTAGCTCTATGGCAGAGTAGATACAACGCATGTTGCAAGAAAATGCGTTGATACACACAATAGATAACAGTTCTAGAGGTGAAAAAGGTGATGGCTTAGGCTTAAAACAAGACACCGGTAAATTAGTTCTCCAGACTTGTGGGTTCATAAAATATTTCCTGATTTATAAATAAGTTGCTATCCAGTCCGCATGAAAAGGGAATGGCTGCGTGAACCACTGCATCAGACTAAGGCTTGGCACCAGGCACGTGCAAGCCCGGTTGGTGCTTAGGAGAAGCACGAGGTCACGATGGGACCCCTTGCCTGCACCATAAATCCCCCCCTCCATGGAAACCTGCTGGTTTCGCATGTTCAAAGCACTCAATATACAGTTTATTGATTCTATGACCTTCAAAAAGAAAGCTTTTGGAGGACTGGGGAGAAGTAGTAAATTAAATAGACATTAAGAGCCAAATCTTGCATGCCTGAGTCGTATGAATAGTCCCATATACGTCAGCAGCATTTTTGGTGTGAAAGAGGGAAGAAAGAGTGGAACGGCAAGGTTGTAAAAATCCTATTAGGTTGCCTGCGATGAGGGAAACCTGGGAAAAATGTGAGCTATTTTCCTATGGCATTCTCCCCCCGGTGAGACCGCAGTGCTGGAGCCTCCGGCTGGGCAAAGCCCCCGAGGAGACGTAAGGCACCGGGCTCCCAGAGCTGGGGAGAGATGACAGTGCCAAAGTGGTCGCGTCCCCAGCCCTGGGGGGATTTAACAGCCGGGCAGAGGCGGTGCTGAGGGCCAGGGTTTGGGGGTGGGATGGCAGGGGTAGGGGAACGGTTGGGCTGGGGGAGCTTGAAGGGCTTTGCCAACCCAAACCATTCCAGGATTCCGTGATTCTAGAGGTGGATCTCCTCTTTTTTTTCCCAGTAAAAAGCAGTTTCCCAGGATGCGTGTTAGAGATTTGAAAGTCTTTCGGTGCAGGTCTGCAGTGATGTGTGTGTGTGGATGGCACGGCTGACGTCCAGGGAGGGGCAAAAGCCGTTTCTCAAACATCTTGGTGCTGGCCAGGTATTAGTTGTAACTCTCGTCCATATTGCTTGGCTTTGCATAGCTGTTTGTTCATGCAGTCAAGAGAGATTCTCTCACCTCCTTTGTAAACCTGAAATGAAATAAGGCGTAGAGGTTAAATGAATTGCCCAGAAAGACACAGTAGGACACGTCTAATTACGTCTCAATTTAGGAGTGAGTTCTGGCTCCAGCCCAACGAGCCAACTTGAAAAACTCTCGTCCATATTGCTTGGCTTTGCATAGCTGTTTGTTCATGCAGTCAAGAGAGATTCTCTCACCTCCTTTGTAAACCTGAAATGAAATAAGGCGTAGAGGTTAAATGAATTGCCCAGAAAGACACAGTAGGACACGTCTAATTACGTCTCAATTTAGGAGTGAGTTCTGGCTCCAGCCCAACGAGCCAACTTGAAAAAAAAAAAAGAAAAAAAACCACCACCCTGGAGAGGGGAAAAAAA